GGCTCCAGGTTCTGAGCTGTCAGCACAGAGCCCGACGTGGGGCTCGAACCCACAAACCGCAAGATCATGACCTGAGCCGACATCAGAAGCTTAACTGACTGAGCCACCCAGGTGCCCCATCTTAGTGTGAAATTTAAAAATGAACAAAAAAGGCCAACCCTCTTATCATCTTGTCTCTTGTAAGAAGTATCCTATTGCTGTTTTCCAGACTGTGCTAGCCTGATGAAGAAGTGTGTGCAGTGCCGGGCAGTAGTTGAACGAAGAGTGCCTTTCATTATGTGTTGTGGAGGGAAAAGTTCAGAAGATGCCACTGATGACATCTGTAAGTGTATTTTTCTTACTTTGCTGTCTTGTTAGGACTTTCATGAACATCTCTTCTCATGTGTAGTAGAATGTTGGCTTGTGAAGCACAAGGTACGTGACCTCAGTCTACAGAGGAACAGATGGGGTTTTGTTCTTATCACAGGAAACTTGAGATTGTGTTTTTCTAGCTTGCAGTATGATTATAGAACTTTGAGCATTTGTTTTTTTAAGAAACCTCCATGTGTAATATAAAGAAAATTGTTGTGTTCTTGCTTAAAGAAAATTTGCTTTTTTTTAACATTAAATTTAGAGTATCTTGGTGAATTAGCATATTACAAATTATTTTTTCAGTTACATAAGTGTTAACATCTCATTCTTGGGTGTAGCAGATTTCACCTAGCGCATGTCAGTATTTTATAGAATAGCATTTATTCGGAACAGAGTAACTGTAGATAAACTGAAATGTAACTCAGTAAAGAAGTGGAAAGATGAAAAATTATTTACTTTCAACCTTTTAAAAAATTTTTTTTAATTTATTTTTTTATATATATAATTTATTGTCAAATTGGTTTCCATACAACACTCAGTGCTCATCACAACAGGTGCCCTCTTCAGTGCCCATCACCCACTTTCCCCTCTCCCCCACACCCCATCAACCCTCAGTTTATTCTCAGTTTTAAGAGTCTCTTATAGTTTGGCTCCTTCCCTCCCTGTAACTATTTTTTTCCCCTTCCTCTCCCCAATGGTCTTCTGTTAAATTTCTCAGGATCCATATAAGAGTGAACATACGGTATCTTTCTCTCTATGACTTATTTCACTTAGCATAACACTCTTCAGTTCCATCCACGTTGCTACAAAAGGCCATATTTCATTCTTTCTCATTGCCAAGTAGTATTCCATTGTATATATAAACCACATCTTCTTTATCCATTCATCAGTTGATGGACATTTGGGCTCTTTGCATAATTTGACTGTTGTTGAAAGTGCTGCTATACACATTGGGGTACACGTGCCCCTATGCACCAGCACTCCTGTATCCCTTGGGTAAATTCCTAGCAGTGCTATTGCTGGGTCATAGGGTAGATCTATTTTTAATTTTTTTGAGGAACCTCCACACTGTTTTCCAGAGTGGCTGCACCAGTTTGCATTCCCACCAACAGTGCAAGAGGGTTCCCATTTCTCCGCATCCTCTCCAGCACTTTTCTTTTCTTTTTTTTTTTTAAAGTTTATTTATTTATTATGAGACAGACAGAGACAGTGTGAGTGGGGGAGGGGAAGAGAGAGGGAAAGAGAGAGAATTCCAAGCAGGCTCCACACTGCCAGCATAGAGCCCAATGTGGGGGCTCAAACCCATGAAACATCGAGATCATGACCTGAGCTGAAACCAAGAATCAGAACCTCAACTGACTGAGCCACCCAGGCGCCCCCTACTTTCAACCTTTTCAGTACTATAGCTGTATAAAAATATTTTTCATCTTTGCACTAGATAGAAGCTTGGAATGGTACCTTTGATTTCTTTGTTCTATGTATGCACGAGGAAGAACATTAGTGTAGCCAATTCTGCTCAGGGCTCTTTGTCTTTATCACTGATAGAGCAGAATTAAAATCCCAGAAACAAGTTAACTAGAGTAAAAGAGTAAAAGTCTAAAGAGTAGGAAAAGTGCAATAAAAAATTTCCCTCTAGGGGCGCCTGGGTGCCTCATTCAGTTAAAGGTTTAACTCTTGATTTCGGCTCAGGTCATGATCTCAGGGTTGTGCGATTGAGCCCCACCCACATCGGGCTCCACACTGGGCGCGCAGCCTACTTGAATTTTCTCTCTCCCTCTGCCCCTCCTCCGCTTGTTCTCTCACTCTCTCTCTCAAAAAAAAAAAAAAAAAAAAAAAAAAAAAAAAAAGCTCCCTCCGTTTAGTAGACCCACTGATCACATCTTTTCTTTCATGGAATTCCTCATCTCCAGTCAGTAACAAGGAGGGCTGGGAAGAAAGGAAGGAGGTTAGGTTTTTGTGTGTTCTCCTAAACATCATCTAAGAGACTTCATGATTATTGCTGCCCAAACTGGCTAAAGTGCTGTGCTGCCTCCCATCTTGGCTTTGTAAAATGCAGGAACAGAGAAAACAAGCATAGAATGTGTTTGTGAGCTTGCCAAAGTAGAAGCGCCTCGGAGAACTCAAAAGTCTGTGTGTAGTTTGTTGTCTAGCTGAGTTAAATAGAATTAGAAAATAATGTGGAAACCTGTGTCTTTTTAAAGATTATAAATGAAGGAGTATAACGTGAATGTCACTACTGTATTGGTTGTCCATGAGTGAAAAAAAAATTTTAAGGGGATTCTAGTAATAGTCTGGTTTTTAATAAAGTAGTAATAATTTTAGAAATAAAAAAAAATCATTGCTATGTCAAAACAGTCATAACATTAAAATATTTTATTTGTATTATAGCAAGTGGAAATATTCCTGTGTTACAAAAGGACAAGGATAATACCAATGTCAATGCAGATGTGCAAAAGTTGCAACAGCAGTTACAGGACATTAAGGAGCAGGTAATGATGATCTCTTCATGGTAAATGATGATTCTAACGATGGCATTTAATATTTTTCTATAAAGCTGTTGGTGTTTTACATAGTAAGTAGGATTCACATTCGGGTATCATTTATAGTATTTGAATAGTTTGTAAAAGGTAATATGATTAAAAGATTTAATCAGCCCTTTTCCAAAATAAGAAACAAACAGATGACCAGTAATGTTCAACCAGACTAGTAATCAAGAAATGAAAATTGGGGTGCCTGGCTGGCTTAGTCAGTAGAGCATGTGACTCTTGATCTTGGGGTTGTGAGTTCAGGCCCCACTTTGGGCATAGAGCTTACATTAAAAAAAGAAGAGGAGGAAGTAGAAGAAAGGAAAATTAAAGAAAAGAAAACTACAGTGAGGTGCCTGTCTCCCTACCAGACTGAGTAGAAAACTCTGTGTTAGAAATTGTCAGTATAGGGGCACCTGGGAGTCTCAGTCAGTTAAGCGAATGACTCTTGATCTCAGCTCTGGCCTCGAGCTCACAGTTGTAAGTTAAAGCCCTGTGTTGGACTTCACACTGGGAGTGAAGCCTGCTTAAAAAAAAAGAAAAAGAAAGAAATGATCAGTCCACAGTATTAGAATACAGGAGTACAAATTAGTAAAAACACTTTGGAAAAGTTTGTCACTGTAATATTAACTAAGCAGGATATTATTTTGAAGTGCAAATTTGGAAAAAATTGTACAGATGGTGTTTAAAACCAAGGGTAGTGGTTTTCTTGGCTGAGATGGCTGGAAGGTGGGGCACAAGGGAAGTTTCTGTATAGAGAGATATAAAGTGCCCATTACGTGCATTTGATCAATTTGTGAACTTTTATCAAATGGTACATTTATGATTTGTGCACATTTCTATATAAGTGTGATACTTCAGTAGAAAGGAAAAATATATATGTTCTCTTTCACTCTCACTCTGTCACGCACACCATAACAGAAAGCAAGGGAAAGATAAATGCAGTATTTAGAATAGTGGGTTTCAGTGATGGGTAGATGGAAAGGATTTGGGAAGATATATGGAGGGGCTTCAAAAGAAAGGGTAGCACTCCATGCTTTAAGCTGGGTGGTGGTTTATATTGTTCTTTATATCTTATACATACCAACAGACGTCCTCTCTTATCTACTCAATATTTCATAGCAGCAATGAAATAAATGTACTTACCATACATATATGGTAAGTAAGAAAGTCTGCTTTTTTCCCTTCCCACCTTATCATTTGACCCAGCAATTAAATCTGATTCAAAAGATTGAGAAGCATAGGGTGTTATTTCTTTAGTTTGGGTATCACATCAGTGTTGCCATGCAGTTGTTAGTCATCACTTGTCTTTTCTACCTGAGTTTATAAGTAATATAGTCAATAAATAGGATAACTAATGACCCTTGTGATAGAGTAATATAGTAGATAGTTATTAAAGAATTAAGCATATGTATTTGTTAGGAATTTAAGCACCCATCCGAAAAGATTAAAACTCTATGACTTGGCTAGTTTTTGTTTCGAAATCTAGTACCTAGTAATACTTGTTATATGGTGACTGAGTAAAGATAAACATGGATTTACCAGTTCTTATGTAGCAACATAAAAATAGGAACATATTTAGCTCATTCTAATATAAAATAGAATGTTTCAAAAATCTTTTAAAGCTCCGGGGCACCTGGGAGGCTCAGTCGCTTAAGTGTCTGACTTCACAGGTCATGACCTCACGGTTTGTGAGTTCGAGCCCCATGTTAGGCTCTGTGCTGACAGCTCACAGCCTGGAGCTGCTTCGGGTTCTGTGTCTCCCGCTCTCTCTGCCCCTTCCCTGCTCACTCTCTGTCTCTCAAAAATAAACATTAAAAAAATTTTTTTTTAAATCTTAAAGCTCCTTAGCATCTCTTAGCATCTCTTAGCATTTTCTTTCCCATAAGACCCTTATAGAAAGATAAAACTGATTTTTGAACAAGTCTTCTCTGAAAAGCATTTCATCTCCTATTTGTGAATTAAAATTGTGAATAATGATAATTTTGAACCCTATTATGGGTCCTGAAAAAATAATTCAGCTTAGGGCGCCTGGGTGGCTCAGTCAGTTAAGCATTCCACTCTTGGTTTTGGCTCAGGTCATGATCTCACAGTTTCGTGAGTACGAGCCCCAAGTGGGGCTCTTGCTGGCAGCATGGGGCCCACTTGGGATTCTGCCTCTTTCTCTGCTCCTCCCCCACTCATTCTGCCTCTGTCTCTCTCAAATAAACTTAAAATAAATAAATAAATAATCCAGCTCTACTTTTATCCCAAGTTCAGCACTCCAAAGAAGTTTCTTCCCCCTTAAATAATATTCATGACCAGATTTCATCACAAAAATATATTTAAACAGTTATAACAAAATTCATTCTGAGGACTGATGGGATTTCTTGCAGGGACCTTGGTCCTTGACTTTTGTCAAGGTAACCAAGACAAAGCATCTGAATAACTCTTTTTAAAATTTAAATCTCCAATCTTTCTCTTACCCCAGTGTAATTTCACGTGCTATTAAGAATATATTAATCTCAAAGTAACTGAAGTTACTAATTGACTGCATTGAACTCTTGGAAATTTAATGGGAAAGAAACCATTTTAATGGTACTAAAAGGCTGGTTTGGCTTTTTTAATTTTTTTATGTTTCTATTTATTTTTGAGACAGACAGAGCATGAGCAGGGGAGGGACAGAGAGAGAGGGAGACAGAATCTGAAGCAGGCTCCAGGCTCTGAGCTGTAAGCACAGAGCCCAACGCGGGGCTCAAACTCACGGACCGCAAGATCGTGACCTGGCTGAAGTCGGACGCTTAACCAACTGCGCCAACCAGGCGCCCCTGGTTTGGCTTTTTAAAATAAAAAAGTGTATACAATTTTCTACAGCTTTGTCTCTCAAGCTTTAAGATAGATACATGTGAAAGTTTACTTTGGAAGGGTGGGGCTAACAATTAGATTTGTAGTTCCTTCCCCCTCCCTGCCACAGTGATCATTGTCAAAGTTGATCATTACATTTTCGTATAGGCCTTAGGCCTAGTTTATTAATCTAGAAATTCTTTTTGATTATGTCATTTCTATGTTATTTAGGATACTTTTCCATGGATACTTTTCCAAATAACATAGAAATGACTTCATAATATGAAGTATTGTGGTATAGTAAGGTAAAAAAATGTTTTTCTGAAAATAAAACGTAAAATGTGTTTTTGTGAAAAATTATGTGATTTCCTAGAGTGTTTTCACCAAAGTATACCTAACGTACTTCTAAATTTTTCTGAGTTCATGAAGTTACATTTGTTAATATGTAAGTAAGGCTAATTGTTTTTAATTGAAGGGGATCTACATTAATAGTAATCCAGTGAAGGATGTTTCAAAGCAAGAGCTCTGGGGCCACATGATCCAGTTTACATTATGGCCTGTGATGGGGAGGTGTTTAGCCCCACGAAGCCCCAGTTTGCTCGTTTTTAAAGTGATAGTGATAATAGGGCTGAGATATTATCATAGTGTGTGGCACGTGTCTTTAGGGACATCTGTACACTGCTCCCCCTCCCCCATAGGCCTGATGTATTGTGTTACTTTCATACAAGAACAGCATAGTACACAGTTGGGGAATCTGAATGAGACTGAATGGGGCTATTTTTCATTCATTTCCTGTTAGATTTTGACATTTGCATTTTTTGTTTTATATAGTATTTATTTAATGAAGTGTCTTTTATACATGACAGTACAACTGATATTTCTATTTTATATAAAGGGATAACTTTAACTATTTAAAAATTTTTAAATTAAAAAAAATTTCTCGAACATTTTAAAGCAACAAAAGATTAAAACAACAAAAGAAAATGTTACAAAGTTGTTATATACAATGTCAAAATATAAAATGTCTCAGCATTTATTACCTTGTTATCTCCCATTCCAGACCATGTGCCCTGTATGTTTGGATCGTTTGAAGAATATGATTTTCCTCTGTGGCCATGGAACGTGTCAGCTCTGTGGAGACCGAATGAGTGAATGTCCTATTTGTCGCAAGGCTATTGAGCGAAGGATTCTTTTGTATTAATTAAGAAACTCAGTGTGTTTTGTTAGCTAAAGTATTTGGTCATGAGCTCTTAGTGAAGCTGTTAAGCTAGTTGGACGTTCTAATGAACTAATTTTTAATATCATAGTTTCTTTCCTAGAGTGTAATTAGACTGTAAATGTATCAGAACAAAAAAAAACCCTCTATAAGACAGTGTTTGAAGTTGTGGTTTTTGTTTTTGTTTCTTTTAATTTGAAACATCAAATCCATATAATTCATAGGTAATTTACTTGTCACTTCTAAGGGGAAGGTCCTTTAAGAATGTCCTGTTATTTTTGTTTTTATTGCATTTTTCTTAAAGTTTGTAAATTTGTTAGACCTCAAGAAATGTAGATCCTTATGATCAGCTGTCCTTCAGTTTATTGTGATTTTACACAGTTGACACAGGTACTCAGAAAAGTCATGCATCAAGTGAACAGGGCAAGTCAAACCATTATGCCACATATATTAAATGACAAAATTATAATATGAGTTTTACATAGTTAATATTGAAGATAAGATTATCTGAAGAGAGGATTATCTTTTTAAGATAAAAAGTTATGCAAATGATTGTTTCTGAATTCTTAGAGTAAATGGAAGCATGGAATGAGAGAGTAGTGACTTTGCATTTAGCTTAATTTATAGACTTAAAAAGAAAATTGTTAAACTTGAATCAAATTGCCAGTTTCAGAATGATTGACATGAAAAGGAAGAATAAGCAGTCACAGTGGGGAACTGAGGTGGGGGAAAGTGGCCACTGAAAGAGTACCTTTTAACTGACCATTAACAGTTGCCTTTCCTGTATTAATTTATACACTGTTCTGTTTAGCCAGCCTTTAAAAAAAAAAAAAGTGTATGAAAAGTGTACCTCAGTTTTCCCTGTGGTCACTTATCCAGGCTTGACCTGACCAGTGAAATGATACTGCCCTATTTGGGCTCTGAGGTTGCATGTTGCTTTTCTCATGTACTGAGTAGTACCCCAGTGATCTGAGAAGGGTAGTGCATTATCTCAAGGCAACAATCTTTTTTTTGTTCCTGTTGATTCTGACAGTGTTACTGGTTCTACCTACATCGTAAAGCCCTCCCATTTTCGTTCAGTTGCTAAGACTTGTTATAAAGAAAACTCTCTATCTACAAATGAGGATATTATTTAAATTGCCAACAGTATCCAAGACATAGTAAGTAACCTAATAATAAATACTTTAGAAAGAGTGACCAGGACATTTACAGAAATATGTCTGATTATCTGCAGTTTTTCCTTTAACTCAAACTTTTGATTCTAGAGCATCTAATCATTTTCTGCCCTTTGAATGAGTAATGTTACTCTGTCTAGGATGAATATACATATAAATAAGTGTTTTGAGGTCATTGCTGCTAGATTATAAAAATATCACCTGTTTACAATGGTGTCTACTATATACTGTGTATAAGCTTACTCCTAAGGATAGTTATCTTGTAGCTTTTTCTTTTCTTTTTTTCTTTTGATTCTGGTTATTCCTTCCTTCTTCCTTCTTGCCTGCCTGCCTGCCTTCCCTCCCTCCCTCCTTTCTTCTCTTTCTTTCTTCCTTTCTGTTTCTTTCATTTCGGCAACTAAATTTAAGAATATTCCTGGCAATTTAATGGCTGCTGCTTTTGCAAGTCCTGGTGAAAACAGTGGTGAGCTTTGCTGGCTGATTTTGTAGTCTTGGTGATTCCGTATCTGTGTTAGCTAAATAATTTAGCATTTAGAATAGTAAAATTTTTATAAGTTTTGAATTTGAAAATTTGTATGGATTCAGTTATCTAATAAAGGGCCACTGAGGCTATTTTTTTAAGCCATATTTCAAAGTTATAAAAAGAGCATCTGACATGATGTCACATAAAGAAACAGACTTATTTTCTTTCAGATTTGAAAATAGCAACAGTCGGGATTTTTTTCCTTCCATGCCATAGGCTGCCCATCTCTTTTCCACTAGGTCAGCTGGAGAGGAGGGAACACCTGGCTGACTCATGCACAGTTTGGCCAGCCAGTGAATTCTGTCTAGAGCTCTACTTACATCTTTTTTGTCTTTTGAGCTTGCTGTGCTTAAACTTACATCCCTAAAGGGCAATTTCATTTTCCAGACTAGTTTATTTCTTCTAAATTAAAAATACAATAACATAAACTATTACAAAAGTCATATAAGGTCACTGTGATTATAGTGTTGTGTATTTGTGCATTTTCTATATTTGTACCACTCTGAAATTTGTTTAATGAATAGAAAATGTTTCTCTCTTCATGTTTTCAAGCACCTGAAAAATTATTTTAAATTTGTTTCGTGCTTGTGAGCAAGAATAAGGTTAAGAACAGAGTTGTTTAAGTGACTGTCTTCTAACTCTGAAATTGCTACCTCTTATGTGTCTCTCAGCAGTACTTTCCCAATTAGGTATGTTTCCTTCTCATCAGCTCATCATCTTGTGCCTCAGAAGAGCTTTTGCTTTTCCTAGAATCATTTAAAAAAACACAGCAGACAGTCATTCAAAAATGTATTTTTTGGGCCTCAGGGGCTAGATATACAACATTGAAAAATGGTCAGCATTTAGCACACACTGAGTCTATCATGCAGCAGTTGTACATTTGAAGAACTCTGTAGTCAAGAAGGGATCCAAAGGTACTGATAACATTTCTTCCTAATGTTTCAGAAGAGTTGTCTTAAAGTAGCATTTGGATTCCCTCTCTGTATCCCCTTACTCCTACCACATTTTCGCCTTTACTCTAAGATTGTCAGCCTTGTTGCCCAAAACACACACACAACTTACCAGATGGTGCTATTCTAGTCATTTTTGTTCACATAATTTAACATTCTTACTGCTTATATTACTAATGTATTGAATTTTTCTGGGAGCAAGAAGGCTTTTCAAGTGAAGATCACTTTGTATTAGTGTAGGGTATGATATTAGACAGTGTTTAGCTGACCAAATCATGTTTGGACAAAGTGTTTGTAATTTTAAACATTGCAAATTGACCAGCTATAACATTAATTGATAATATTGAAAATAGCATTCTTAAATTTGTATCTTTGATGGCTTTAGCCTGTAGGAACTAAATTTTAGCATGTTGAAATGCATGCTGCTTAGGACTAGTCCAACTCAAATGTATAAACTTGCTGGGTCATTTTTACATAGTAGAAATACACAATCTTGTTATGTGTTGCCCAGTTGTTGTCCTTTGTTTATTATGAATTTTGGACCCTTAGTGATGGGGTAGGATAGGAAGACACGAAGGAGTTGCAAGCAAGCAAGCAAGCAAGAAAAGTCAGTATCTGAGTTTAGAGAAAAAAAAAGGGGTTTAAGAAAGTTGTGTAGATTTCATCAAAGCGGTAAGCAGAGAGAGTATATTTGATTGAACAATATAAAAAAGGTCTCTTAATCAGTTTTTAGTGTCATTTAATTTACAATTGCTTTGTAAACTATACAGTTTAATACATCTGGCTTTAAAAAAAGGCCAAAGGAAAAGCGCCTATCCTCTCAGAGTGTCTAAAATGTTATAGTAATAATTTGTGTAAAAATTGAATATTTGGAATAGAATTTTTTTTACATTTTTTTTTAATTGTGGTAAAAACACATAACATGAAATTTACCATCTGCACCATCTTTTAAGTGTACAGGTCAGTAGTGTTAACTATATTCACATTGTTGTTAAACGGCTATCTGGGAGAACTTTCTCACTTGCAGGATTGAAACTCTATACCCATTGAACAATAATTCCCTTTTCTCTTCACCCACCCCCCCCAGTGGAATAGCATTATGGTTAAATATAAATCAAGGAACAACCTTAATTATCTTAATTGTTTATGTTTGCAAGATTTAAAGTCACGGTTAATACTAAGTAAGTTCCTTAAAATTTGAGGGATGACAGAATTTCTTCCCTTCCTCCCAACTGTTATAAATCATAATTGAGTTGATTTTAAATGTTTGTTAATTGGAAGGGTTTGTTATTTCATTTGGAGCTGGAGGGGAGAAACACATTTTAAACATTAGAATTAGGTTAGCTCTGAATTTGGGAAGGTAATAGATTTTCACAGACTATGTGTGCCTTGTCGAAAATGTCAGTTGTCTTTAAGTCTCCTTGTAATGGTCTCAAAATATTTTTTTTCTCTCAAAAACTCAACCTAATTTTATTTGCTTGAATATTAATGATAGGAATGCATACTGATACTACTTGATAATCATATAATAGCCTTGGAACTTTAACATATATATATATATATATCTATAGCAGTATTAATAATCATAGTTGTACTTCTTTAAAACATTAAATTTGAGGAAAAACTATTTAATGATGTCTCATTTGTACATTGCTTTGCTACAATGAGGGGGAAGCCTTTAGATTGAGACTCAGTTTACTGGTAAATGGTTAGTAGTGGATGAAACTAGAATATAAAAATATGAACGAGTTAGGGGAGCTGATGAATTAAAATTGTAAGTTGCTACATCAGCATTTTCTACCTCCTTTTCTGTCAGAGTATTGCTTTTCCAGCTCTTATTCTTATTTGTGACTAAGGCAGAGAGGGGAACCCGAGGTTCAAATTGAGATTCTTATTTTGTTGAAGATTGAAGCAAGTAGGTACAGGAAGGGTGACCTGTCACGTCACTTTGGTGCGTAAAATCCATAATTACAGGTTGTAATTGACGTGTACAAAATGTGTGAGAAAGATAATATTACTGGCTGTTTTACTTCTCCTGTGTGGTCTACATGACTTTGTTTCATAAACATGACTTCTTTCCTACACAATGCAAAATGGTCTTGTAATTTTCTATAAAAGAAACAAATATGCCATTTTGTCTGAAATCTATAATTTCAGGAAGCTATTGAAAGTTCTGACTCAGGGCTTTGTAACAAGTTTAAGCAATTGTTAATTATATTTTGGAAAATCCATCTACATAATTCTTCAGTGCCTTGAAAGAATTATTAACTTGGCAACACTACTAAAACTTTATAGAAGGCTGTCTTTAGCGTGCGTGTATCATCACACACATTTATA